TTCGAAAATATATTTTTAATTACTCTTTATAAAAGTTCAAGAAATCTTTACATAATCAATATATGTATATATAAATACTTAATGATTGAGATCTATATAGTCGTAATCTTTATTAAAAGTTCAATACTCTATATGGATTAGGAAACCTTGCATATAAATAGTTGAAACCTCATTCGTTTCTATGATTACAAAAGTTACTCACCATTGATATCTGAATGATTAATTTCATGCGTAGGAGTATCATCAGTTAGTTGTTGTTGTCGTTGTGTATCACCGGATAAATTCTGATTAAGATTACTAATAGTATCACCAGTATGAATGATTGAATTATTTTTATCTGATAAATTAAATAATTTTGTTGTTCGTTTACGTTTTGTACGTCGTTTTTTAATTTTACGAAAATTTCGAGATTCTGAACGTGTATGATGAGTTTCTATAGTTGATTGAATAATATCACCTGAATAGATTATTTCATAAGATATATCTTCTGTTATTGTTGGTTCGATTTCTTCAAATTCTACATAATCTTCAATTTTAAATTCACCTTCTTCTCGAGTCACAGTTTTCGTATCATCACCCCAACGTTCAAGTAATGTTGGATAATGATCAAGATAAGTTATTTCGATAATTTCTTCTTTAATTATTTCTTCATCCGATGTATCTAAATAATGTGTTTTACGATATGGTGATAATGATACAGCATTACGAGATATTGTTGAATAATACGGTTTATAATCCTGAAAACGATAATGAGGCATTGAATATTTAGGAAAATAATTTGACCATAACATATTGTATTGATATGATGAACGCCTTGAGCGATTATCTAAGAAAGAAGTATATTGATAGTTTTTATTACTATCGAAGGATGATGAAATAAAATTCGCCATAGAATTGTTGACGATCAAACAGTTGTGCTGTTCGCCTATTAAACGATGTAACTAAATCAATACGTTTCTTTTTTTTTGTTTGTCATACCCTTTCTCTTTCTCCTGTGCTCTCTTTGATCGTCGATATTCTCGTCACATCATCTTCTCCTTCTCTCTCTCTCTTTCTCTTTTCTCTTTCACCTTTTTTCTTTTCTTTCTTGATTTTCGTGACCATCGTTAATGTTCTCTTTTTTGTTATTTCTAGTAACCTTTCTCTATATATATAAATATTGCTCATTTTCGATTAATGTTGTTATAATAACTAGTAATCATTGTATTTTTGACTTACTCATAGAAATTGCTGTTGTCATATCAAATCTATCTCTGACAAAACTTGAAGGATATTTGTGGTATATGTTTTTGCTGTTGATTCATCTGCATTAATAATTTTGTAATTTTTCCTAGTAATACTTCATTATTTTCTTTTTCCTTTTCTCTCTCTCTTTCTCGTCGGTTATTTTCTCTGCATATTCTGTATTCTCTATGGGTATGAAGAGTATTAGTCGAATGTGGAATGCGTCCATTAGTATTTTTGCTTTTGTCGTTATTTTTTATACTACTACTACCATCAGCATATATTACATTTTTTCTCGTAAAAAACATTGTTGAAGCTAGTTCTTCGTCTTTTCTGTTTCAGCATTTTTTTTCTCTTCCTTTTCTTTTCTAAGAGTTTTTTCTTTGCTTTTTCTACAAAAATATGAGACATCGTCAGTATTATTCTTATTACTGATGTTTATGAATAACGACACACTATACTGTCATTTGTTACCCATCGATAGAATATTTATTATTATTTTTTGTTGATTTTCAAAATGATAATAATTTGAAATATTTATTTAACAATAAATTGATAGAGAACGAAAAAAAAAATTTAAAATACTGCATTGCCTGTTCTTTATTGTTGTCTATTTTCTTTTTTTTTTTCTCTCTAACATACATTGATTTCGATTATCGAATTTCTCTTCCTTGTCAATGGAAGATTTGTTGAATAAGAGAAGAGAACAAAAAACAAAAAAATACAACGAATGTACACACAATTGAAAAAGTGCATACACAAAAAAAAAAAGAAAAGGAAATATGTAGGTGTTATTTAACATTTAAGAATATTAGTAATGCAATGATGTGTAAGATATTTGATCATTACACTTGACTTGAAATATATTAGTAATATTAATAAATATGATTTATCCAAAAGAAAAAAGAAGTTAGTTACGAAGTCAATGCATGTTTATGTCATATCAATTTGTTGTTTGAATAACAGGCGTTGATTCGTTCGTAGATGATTCATCAACAGGTGAATGTACTGTATTTTTAACATCAGTATCAGTTGAATTCAATAATAATGATGGTTTCTGTTCATTGTCAATTAAATCTTCGACTGATTTATTCTGTGCATTAGTTGTATCTAAAATATAACAAAAGAAAAATCAAATAATTTGTGTTTTATGCATATATCCAATTAAACAGGATAGAGAAGAAAAAAATTCATAAGTGATAGTTATCGTTTTTATCTATAATTTATCATTAATAAATTATTATCCATTTAGATTCTATCACGAAATCGATTATTAACGAATATAATATATATATAAAATATTATGCATTGTCAAACGATTAAAGTAGAAAAACAATAAACTCTTTCAGTAATAATTATCATTGATAGACAGTTGGTAGTATGAAAGTATCGCCTGTTTGCATGGTTGAATGCTTTATCATAAACTTCATCAATTCTCTCGACACTTTTACCATGTAGAACAGTGTCCAGATGTAAGAATATAACGACCCATATCTATCACCCTTTTTTCAAACGAAGACAATAATTACTACTAAATGGTGAAATGTGTTATGATCTAGATGGTTTTATTTAATATGCACTTAATTAGTAAAACCACTGATCAAAGTAACTGTTTTTTATCAATATATAAATAGATTATTTTTCTAGACACATCTTACATTTGTAATTAACACTAGTCGAACTTAAAAATTTTTTCGATTAGAAAATAGATTAATAATGGTAGTATACATTTGTATGTACGAGAGAAAATTTGTAATAATTAAAAGTGTACGTGTTATGCTTTTTTTATATTCTCTATCTGTATAATTACAATGAGGACTTTTAGTAACAAGCATATTGTGTGTGTGTCGACTAATAGATATATAACTCTTTCTTTTTTTTATTATCGTCACGATCGCTTTTTTTTATCCTTATTCTAAAATTTATTGGATAATTTCCATTGGCGACATAATAGAACAGAAAGATCTATTTATAGATATAATTAACAATGAAAACAAAATATGTACAAATAAGAGCGGTCAAAAGATTAATCTGATGTGATTAGAATGATAATGATATCGACAAGGTATAATCATAATTTAAAAAGTGTATGTTTATATATCTTACCATATGTTTTTTGAATCAAAGAAGTTATTGTTGCTATTTCATCGTCAACAAAAACATCTTCGGCATCGATTGAATCATGTTTCTGTTGTAAACGTCGTTGTTGATAAGTATTATTTGATGATCTTCGATATTTCCGTTGTTGCTGTTGAGATGATGATGAAAAATTTGAAGGTGATAAACTAATTTCTGTTTTATTAGATTTTTGTTCTTGTTTTATTGGTAATGGATCAATTAAACGTAAAATATCGATCATTATTTTTGCTAAACAATGAATACCATTAAGATGTGTTGGAGGTGGTATTAAAGGTGTTTCAGGACCTGAATGTGAACGTTTTCTATTAGTTGTTGTTTGACTTGGAAAAACAAAAGCACGACTTGAATGTATTCGTTGTCGTTTAGATGATGATTGTCTACTATTTGGATAGAGACTATCATCTGTTAATGGTGGCATTAATGGTGAATAAAGTGGATAAGCTGGTTTGGAATGATATGATGATGTTGAACTTGATGGATTACTATAATCTTGTTGTTGCCACCATGCATTCGATGATGATGATGCTGATGGTGGTGGTGGTGGTGTTGTTGTACTCCATGATTGACGATGATAAGGAATATATTGTGGAACAAGTGAAAGTAATGGTCGTATTGTTGAAGTATTTGTTGGTACTGAATGATGATAGGATTCAGAATAATAACGTGAACGTGAATGACGATTATTATAATAATCAACTTGTGTTGCACGTCGATGTAAATGTGCTGGTGCTAATTCTGAACGATATGTTGGTGAGAAATCAATAGGAGTAAAATCAGGTGCATCAGGATTTAAATGTATTTCATTCATTGTATTATCATTACCGATATGTAATAAACGAGTTAATTCACGTGTTGCTTCACCTAAATCCATTTTATTTGTTGTTGAAAATGTATTTTCAGTTATATCATCAAGTTCAGATGATGAACATGATGATGATGAATGACGATATGATTGTTGTTGATGTTGTTGTGGTTGCTGTTGTTGTTCACGAATACTAACAGATGCACGTTTTTCATCGGTTGATAAAATTTCACCAACAGATACTTCAACTGAAGTTGAAGGTAATCGTTGTGATACATTTGTAATTGTTGCTGATTTTGGACTATCTAATGATGATATTAATGATGAAGCAGCTGCTGAACGTGCATCAACAGGTTTTGGACGTATTTTTGTTGGTAAAGGATTTGAAGATGGATCACGATTTTCGTCACTCATATTCAGACTAGTATTTGAAACGGATGTATTGTCGATATCAGATGGACGTGTGGAACTGCTTTTCTAAAACAAAAAAAAACATTTTTAATCATATTGAAGTGAATTTCAGCAGGTGTGCAGCACACGACATCAAACATAAATATTTTTTTTCCTTTTTTTTTTATTTTATTTTCATGAATCTACATACATATTTGAAGAGTGCGTGTTCAATTTTTAGTAATCAATTACTATCTTATTATCGTTTATATTTAATATTCGTTGAAATAAATATCAAACATTTAATTTAACATGCTATAAAATCAAGAATAAGGGAGGAAAACAGCTTGTAAGAACGAATGATAGAAGATATATAAAGGACATTTATGATTGAGAAATAATGAGAGAAAGAAACAGCTGTGTGTGCACAGGCAATAACAGACTTTATTGCATTTAAAATATGATCGACGTTCTAATGGATTTTATGATGATTATGTATTTATCTTATTAGATCATTAATAGAAATAAACAAAAGAAACATATGAGAATTTTTAATAATAAACTCAAACCTGGATTCTTATTCAGAAGAAGAACAGGAAAAAACGCAATTCTAAATGTTCAATTATTTAATCATAAATTAACTAGAAATATTAGACGGAGCATATAGTCTTTGTTTTTATGTCTACACAATGGTAAAACCAGGTGTAAATAAAAATAAGGAATACATCACTCTATCTAATTTGATGTATTTTTGTTGAATATCATCAGAGCAACTAAAACAAAGTGTTTTTTTGTTTTGTTTTATAGGAAAATAAGAAAGAAATTCTTTTTTTTTTATCTTCATTATAACTATTTGCAATGATTTTTAGAAAAATATATATAAATAATTATAACTCTCACTTAATTCTATAGACATATTGTATTTTTTTTTCGTCGGAGACTCTATTCTATGTAAGAAGCAGAGAAAAAAAAGAGGGAATAGAAGGAAAAGAACAAGTTCTGTTAGTCTGCTTCATAGCTAAGTAATAAAAGCCTAGACGTAGCAACGTTTGCTCTTGCAAATATTCATAAAAAAAAACTTGAGATTAACGTAAAAGAAAAACATTCACTCTCTTTATTATTTTAGTTATCTTTCAATATGTTAGAATGATTCATTATATTAACAAATACATAAAAATATTTACCTGAGCATGATCTGACAGAAGTTGTTGTTGAGATGACTGTTCACTATTGGATGCCATTAATTCAAGTAAAATAAATTATTATTCTTTTTTTTTTTTTGGTTGTTTTTGACGAGAGAATAAATTTTGTTTCTTATTAATAAGACATGTTGGTATGATAGTTAGTTCGTTGTATTTTACGTTTATCACTGATGGAATGTTCCATTTGAAGGTTGTGGTTCCATCGTCAACGATAAGAAGTGTGATTCTCTCATTTTCATCTTCCGTTTTATCGACGTCGACGACAGTAGTAATAAAACTGGTAGGGGCAATAGCATCGACAATAATGGTAACGGTTCTTTCTACAAAAAAAAAACTATATGGGTTATGTTCCCGTTTTTTTTCTCTGCCTCTTCTTTTTTTTCTTTTTTTTTTTGTCGTTCTGTAGCACGTTCAGAACGTCATTACTAGTTGTATTCCAGTTTGCATGCATACTATTCGTCGCCGACGTCAATTGTTGTTATTGCCAGTTCTGTTATTTTTCTATAAACTCAACAAATGATGAATGTTGTTGTGTGGAAAGCGTGGGAGTAAAAGAGGAATACAATAAAATCGTGAAAAGTTCTCTTCTTCTTCTTCTTCTTCTTTTTTTTCTGACATAAAAATGGCTAAAAATAATACTTAGATGATGACATAAAACATTCGAATATTGAGTACAAAATGAAAAAAAATATTTTCATCTATGAACTATTTTTTAATTAAGTTGTAAAAATACAAAAACATCTAGCATGTCTGAAACGTTTCGTGCATAAGATCTGACATCCGACCGACATCGATCTTAGCTAAAGACATATAAAAGAATATGAATTTATTATTAAAATAAAAAAAGAAACGAGATTGATATCGTGATGAAAATATAGTCTACAGTTCTATTCAAACAAATCAGCTATTCATTATATATTTACATAAAAAAAACATAAATATTACAATTATTTTTTCTTCTTCTACCTTAATAGCTTTAAGCTACTAAACCATAATTTTTACTTAAGATTAAATTTTAATCCATTGAAGAACTAGTAAATGCGTTCTTAACTTTAATTAAATATTTTTTTATTTGATTTACATAAAAACCATCCGAGACAAAATTAAGAGTGAAGGTCTCAATACATGACTATATTATAATAATTTCTGTTTAGTATTTGACATAGAAAAATTAATTATGAATCAACAAATCGGCATGGTCTTTTTTTATTTGACTGTAAATAAATATATTTTATTATTAAATTCTATACAAGAAAAATCAAAGAATTGAATTGAATTTACTAATTAATTTTTAATGTTTTTGCTGTTAATCATATTTAACGATAAACAATCAATCGACAATGTTGATAATTAATATCATATTATGAATCAAATTCAGTTGTCAGATGTATAATAAAAGTTTATCGAATAGTGGATATGTTAGATCATTATCTTATCATAGAGAAATTGGTTCTATTTTCAAAAGATGATTAATCTAATGATGTTGTATTTTGTGTAAAATATATTCTATTCAATGAATTTGTTGTTTGTATTGATTTATGTGAATGAGATACTACGGTAGTCAAAGATATATTGGTATAAGACGATTGATTATTATGCAAATCATTTTCAGTTTGATTTTGTCGTTCACTAAATGATTTAGATTGGTTTGTAGTTACTGGTAAGGATGAAATATCAGATAATGTAAATGGATTTGTGGTGTCTTTGGAATTCGTCTGAGCTAAAAATAAAAAAAATGAATGAATGCATTGAACTATTGGAGTAGAAATAATCGTTTTAGATTGAAATGTCATTATATATCAGTAATGA